AAATTTCCCCCTGCTTTGCTGAGGAGTAGAGTAGACCCTAGAACTATGGAAGCCTCACCAAGGAGCTGCCCAGTGCCTCTGTCTCTCTGTCTGCCTGCCTCTTTCTCCTTAACATTATGTTATTTTAACTGTGACAAGGTACTGGGACTGCTTAGCCTGGAGAAGAAAAAACTTGGAGGACATTGGGAGGAAGGAGATGTAATCACTATTTTCCATTATGTATGATCAAAATGACTTGGTATAGCCTCTAGGAGGATAGGTCACTGGGACTCAGCTCAGGAATTAATATGTGGGGAGTGTAGAAGAGAGGGTTGGCAGGGGAATAATATTTGTTGAACATCTAAGATGTATTAGGATACTTCATCCACCTTATCTCATTTGATCTCCACAACTCTGTGAAGGAGATTTCACTATTCCAATTTCATGTATCAATAATCTGGGGCTCAGAGGGTTAAGCAGTTTGTCCCACTTTACCCAGATAAGTAGCATACCTGGGATCTGAAAATAGAGTCCTACCTTCAGTACCCTGCATTTCAACAGAAGGAAGAGTTGGTTTATCATTAGGGTTTGGAATACTAATCTGAGGTTCAGAAGTAATGAGCCCCTTGTCATTCAAGCAGAGGCTGAAGGGTTGCAGGAATGAGGGGAGGAAAGTTGGACAAGCTAACTCTCAACTCTGAGATTCTCAGAGGACAGGATTCTTGGTTTCTGCAGGGCAGTATATTAGGAGAGGGGAAAGGAGGTGGGTTGGGCTACTCACACTCTACACGGTATTTCTCCATTTCCTGCACCTCAGCAATGGACTCCCGTAGGTCAGATGTGAAGCGCAGCCGGTCCTGGAGGCTGGGAGCATTGAAAATGATGAGGACTTTTCGCTCCCCACCAGGTACTGCAGACAGCAACTTGATCCCAAACTGATAATCTGTGGGGAAAGGGAGGTAGCAGGATAGGAAGGATACCTCTGTCAGGATTGAAGCCAGGTGGCTCATTAAGTGGAATGATTTTTTTTTAATGCCAAGCTCTAATCATGCCTCTTCTCTTCGCTAGAAACTTCAATGCTCCCCTCTTCCCCTCAAATCCCATAACTCCTGGTAGTCATGGCCCTGTTACTACTCCCTGCACTTTAAGGTGTAAAGGCAAACAACTCTGTGCTCTTCTCTAGAAAACCTGTCCTTTACGCCTTGGCCTGTATTCATATTGTGTCTGCTGCCCAGATGTCACCTAACAAAGCTGCTCCTTGCTCAGTTCTCCAAGGTATAGCATGATAGCCATTATCTTCAGCCTTCCTCCCTTCCCTCCAAAGAGTGCATGCATGTGCACGCACACACACACATACACACCACACACACACACACACACCATGGTTTGTTGTAAGAGTCAAGGGCTAGACCCAAGCTGTACTCCACCCTGGCCTGCCTGCCCTTCACCCTGGGACCAAGTAGGTGCTTTGGAGACCTTACCAGTACCAGTTGCAATAGAGTTGATTCTGACTCATGGTGATCCCAAGTGTGCAGAGTAGAACTGCTCCACAGGATTCTCAAGGCTATGACCTTTCAGAAGTAGATTGCCAGGCCTTTCTTCTGAGACACCTCTGGGTGGGTTAGTAGCCCAGCACTTAACCATTTTTTTTTTGCCACCCAGGGACTCCTTGGAGACTTTAGCCTGGTTGTAAAGAACTCCAAAAACTAGAGGCTAATAAAAATGAATAGTTGGCTGGAGAAGCAGCCATGGGAGGCTGGTATGGATAAAGGATGAGCATGGGGGCCATGGCATTGACTTTTAGGTGGCTGGGATTCAAGAAGGGACTCACATGAATTCTGGAAGAGCTGCATGTGCATTTCCACGAGGGGAAAGGACTGACGGAAGCTGTATGTTACCAAGATCTTCTTCTTCTGAAAAATTTTGGTGACCTTTGGTAGGGTTGGGGAAAAGACAAGAGGTGGGGTTTGGGGTGGGAAATTTCCACATGTCACCTATTTCCAGTATCCTCCCTCCCATCTCTAGTAACAGACATATATACATGAACACACATACCCACAAGTCAGGCAAAACTTGAGGAGCAGAATAGGGAAGATGGGAGAAAATTGCAAGTTTCTGATGTAAGGATGATGCACAACAGGCATCTACAATTTTTACAAGAACTAAGTGAGTGCTGCTCCCTCCAGAAAGCTTGTCCTGACACCCCACACAGATTTTTTTTTTTTTCCTTTTCTGAGTTTCCAGAGTACTGGTTCAGTACCTTTCATTTGTTAGGCTTTACATTAGTCCTCTGAGAAATGATTGCCCCGCTGGACTGGAAGTGCCTAGGCAGGGGTCTGGTTTTAATATCTTTCACCCACCCCCACTGGGCCTAGCATGTAATGGTAGTCTCTGCTGAACAGCTGGTTTTACTCTGAAAAACCCAAGGTCTTTATCAAGTACTTAGGCACTCTGAAATCAATTAATACAGTCTGCAAGTAATTCTTAAAAGCAAAGATATTTGATTTCAGGATGGTTACAGTACACAGTTGTGAAATTTTTTTTTTTAATCTTTTAGACTGTGAGATCTTTGAGAACAGTGACTGTGTCTAACTCACCTCTGCGTACCCAGTGCCTAGCACAGAGCTGGACATATGACAGCTGTCAATATGTGATGGATGTTTGTAAGCCAGGCACTCTTCAGGGTTAGGCCATTCCATATCCAATATCTTACTTAATCCTCATGACAACCCTATGAGGTAGGGATCAGCCCCATTTCACAGAGAAGGAAATTGAGGCTCAGAGAGGGATTTGGAGGTGCTTATCTAAAGTAGTAGTCCTCAGCTAGGGGTGATTTTGCCCCACAGGGGGCGCTTAGCAATGTCTGGAGACATTTTTGGTTGGGAGGAGTGCTACTGGCATCTAGTAAGTAGAGACAAAGATACTAGGCTAAACTTAAACCTCCTACAGCCCCCAACAACAAAGAATTATCTTGTCCCCAATGTCAATAGTGCCAAGGTTGAGAAACCTTGCTCTAAAGGTGAAAAGTCTAAGAGGGGACAGGATCACTGCCCTTCAGATCCCCAAAGAGCTATCTCAGAGCAGAGGGAGAACACTTGTTCTCCATGATCCCAAGGATTGAGTGAAAACTGTTGGAAGAAGCTCATAGAGAGAGAGATTCTAGTAGTCAGAGCTGTCTGACAAGGAAACTGGCTGCCTTGGAGGCAGGCAGCTTTCTGTCCCCTACAGCAAGGGACCAACTAGGAAGCAAGTTCCTGCCCTGGGTAAGAGGTTATGTGGGAGACTCAGAAATTCCCTTATAGCCGACAGAGTTCTAAAAGTCCCAGTCCTAAGAGAGAAGCATCTGCCCTGGTGATGAGCTCTGTTTTGACTCATTCAAATATCCCAGTGACACAAAGGTTTCAGACTAAACCCAGGTTCACAGATTTACCTCCCTTTACCCAACCCTGGACTTCATCTCTCATACTTTGGTCATGTTGCCAGAAGGGACCAGTCCCTGGAAAAGGATAGCATACTTGATAAACTAGAGGGTCAGTGAAAAAGAAGAAGATCCTCAACAAGATGGATTGACACAGTGGCTGCAACGATGGGCTCAAGCATAGCAAGTATGAGGATGGCAAAGGAGTCAGAACCGGCTCGACAGCACCTAACAACAACCACCACCCAACCCTCTGAACTACTGCAGTGGACAGGGACATTTCCTATCAGTTCCCAGACTGTAAGTCTGTCATCTCCCCTCGTCTTCACATTTTCTGTGCCTTTGTGGCTGTAACTACCTCCAAAAGGATCTTTTAGAAAAAAGGAGGGATAGAGAGAAGGCCTAGGCCTTGCCCAAGATCACATAGATCACATGGCAGAGAACCTTACCCACCACACCTCTACCTACCAAGGTTAGTATTGTTCACACCAGACCCAGGGTCCAAGCTCATCATCTCCCTTCCACCTCCTCCCCCACAGTGCTCATACCACGAGGAGATCATTGAAGAGGAAGACCTCCCGCTGATGCAACCCTAGCCTCTGGGGGCGGTTTGGATCTGGCACCTCATAGAGCTGGCAGCAGCAAACCAGTCGACGGTGAGGAAGAGACAGGACCTAGATAGGCATGAAGAAATAGGTATCAGCAAGGCTAGCCCACCAGCTTCGGGCCTCTAGCACCCTAACCTCCAAGAGCAAAATGACAGGAAGTGTACCACTGATACATATCACTGTCACTCTGACACAAGGATGGATATAAACTACTAAGGTCTAAGTGTTCTAGTGCTTTGCCTTTGTCCCTGTGTTGTTTTCTCTGTCTAGAATGCCTTCCTTGGCCAGCTCCATATGGCCACATTATGCCCTTCCTTCAAAGCCCAATTCTAAATGTCTTCTAAGAAGTGTTTCCCAATTTCTTCATGCTGGAAATGAACTCTCCCTCTTTTGTGCTCCCCTTAACGGATGCCCCCACTGGTCTGTGAGTGCTCCCAAGGACAGACACAATATCTGATTCATATCCATATCTTTGGTGCCCAGTGAAATGCCAGCCTCAGTGGAAAGGCATCTGTACATGTTTTCTGACTAGATGACTATAGTGTGTTCTTGCGTTTGTTACTATCTTGGCTCCTTACTTGGGATGAACAGACAAAACCAGAAGTGGTAAGGATGATAATATTTATACTTCAACAACTATGTACCTTACAACATAACATGCTAGATGAATTCATATAGAGCATCTCAATCTGCACCACAAGCCCCCTGGGGGATGCATTATCATCTACTCCATTTGGCAGGTAAGAGGAACCCAGGGGTCAGAGAAGTGCAGTGACTTTCCAAACAGTGACAGAGGCAGACCAGAACCCTGTCCCCTTGGCAGCCTCCCAAGGTACTTACTGGCTTTTTGCCCACAATCATGCGCTCCACGGCCTGCACCTGGGACACATGGTCATCATTGGTCCGTAGTTCACGCCCCTGAATGCGTTGGTAGATGCCTACCAGGAGGTCTCGGGGGATGTCTTCACCATTGTCAACCCCTAGGTTAGGGGAGTAACATGGACATAACGTATAAATGTATTGAGTGGGTGATAAGGGTTCTTCACAACACACCACACCCAGGCATGGACCATGATAATGGTCAGGATTGGAGGGAGTGGACCCCTAAATCTCTCAGCCAGGATCAGGGCCAGATAAGATGCCCTCCAGCAAAACAGCCAATTTGTTTTCTTCTCATGGATGAGGATTTTGTCTAAAAACTCAGAACATACTATGATTAAAACAATTAGGTACTTTTTTTTTTTACATTTCTAATTAGCAAATATAATTTTAAATAATAATACCCAGTGTTAGTAAGAGTGCAGGGAAGTGGGCATGTGTATTAGCATAACTATTTTGAAAGGTAATTTGGCCTAAATGTTGATACCTAGTGATTCCTCTTCTAAAAATCTGCCCTAAGGAATTAATCAGAAATATGCAAAAAGATATATACAAGGATGTTCACTGTCATTTATGGTAGGGAAAAATTTGAAACAACCTAAGTTCTAACAAGAGAAGAACAGTTAAGTAAAATATAGTATATCCACTTAGTAAAACAATATTAAAAAACCCAAACTCAAGTACAGACAACAAATATGAACCCTTTTGCATATACAGTACTGAGTTGT